TCGGAGGGCCCGTGTGCAAGTTGCGCACGTTAAAGATCCCTTGGTGGTCTAAAATCGATAAGAGTAGGCTTCGGCCGCCACCCGGGCAAAGTTCAAAATTTCCTACCAACTGAAAATATTAGGAGTGTCTTTACAAAACAAAAACAACAACAAAGACAGGATTACTAAACGTATGTAGTATAAATTCGAGCTCTTTCAGTAGCAAGTTTAAGAATACCAGGAGCAATATATAGCAAATACTCTTGACATTGTCCAAGACGGCCATCCATTGTCGAGGAGAAAAGTTGTTGACCTAGATAGATGTCTTGGGCAGTTATATTATTATTTCTTTTTTAACTAAAGGGGGAGGGGCGGGAGTGGAAAGTGTTCGTTTTAACAAGTGATTGTCTTCTGCAGGTGGCCGCTAGAACAAGTTGGGTTGAAGTCTTTTCAATAATAAGGGTGTGGCGTGGGATATATTGCAGATGTGTGCTGATAATGCCGAAGTGTGCGAGCTCATTGGATGAAAGGTGGTCAATTAAAATTTATGCGTGGTTGTTTCCTCTGGTTTATCGTGAATCAGGCTTCTATTGAGGCTGGTCTTGTCGAGTCCGGGAGGTAGGGGTGAAAAGGGGGTGGAGAGTGGGGAAAGTGGGGGGAGAGCGGGGGGTCGCTGTTTTGGGAGTTCAGACACGTCAGAAAAACGAAAGCTTGCGATCTAGACGAGGTCTTTAAGTTATGTGAACGTCTTGCGGAGGTAATCATCCAAGTACTTTCTCGTGTCCCCATCAATTTTGTTTCATCTCAACAATAATTTTGTTAAACACTAAATATAACTTGCAAAGTGGTGAAAACGTATAGGTTTAACGCCCCTATTTACACTGTTTCGTTATTTAAGAGGCCTCGACCTCCGAGTTTAACGTCCATATCCGAAAGGACCGAGTCAAGTTGGAAATTTGTGTAAAGTGCTTTTCCCAGGGACACAAGGTCGGACCGAGCTAAAGCTCGGACCCCGAACCCGCAACTTTAACGTGCCACAAGCAGAAAGTAAAAGAATACAATATGTTTATGTCCCGATTAATTGTATCTTTTAACGTTTTAAGAAAAGTACGACGGCACTTCCAACATAATTAGGTCATAATATTATAATTATAGGCTAAGTACCGGTGATCAAAGTTGTAGCAGGAAAGTAACATACGAAGAAAAGACGGAGGAGACATAATGGCGCTAGATGTTTGTTGACAGGGAGAAAGGAGTAAAAACCACACCAGTGCATCCGCTAACCCCGCATAGCTACTTGTACAACAGACAAACGAAAAACTAAAGGGGAAGTATAATATGGTTATTAGTAACAGCACCGATATACCGACTGAAAAATGTAAGGTGAACATCAAAACGTGAGCCTTTGACAGGTTGTATGGGAAGAAATTAGCAGAAGTGCTTAGTAGCCTGTTAAAGAACTATTTTGGTGATCTAGGGCGGAAACATCGCTGGGAAGATAAATAGCAGTTACTGGTTCTTGCTTGTTGGCATTTTGTTGTTCTTTCAATACGATCAGAGAGAACACGAATTATAATTGAAGAATAATAATAATATAATTCAATGTCCTGAAAGCTTCTTTATGTTGAATCTGACTTTCCTTTCCTTTTTTAAACAGAGGGTCACTGCAAAAGACTGGGATTTTCATTTTGATATTGATTTGTCTCCGATATATTTGTCTCTTGTAGAAAGAATTATAAACACGTTTTGACAATCTAACTTCAAAACCAAAACGACAAGGATTCAAATAGCAATAGCTTGATCCTCTGACCGGATTTCATATAGTACAAGTAAAACATTTTTATGCGTGCTTAAGAAGTCCTTAGTATACTATATCGATATTGACTATATTACTATAATCTACATGGTTTACAGTATTTCAATGGTTTTCCTACCTGTTGCCAATATGGCCAGCAGGAAAAAGCATGACAGAAGCATGATGGGAGGATTGCTCGGTGCTATCTCGAGTCGACCTTCTCTAGCTGGATGCTCCTTCTGCGTCTTTTCAAAGCTCCAGAAACGGATAATATAGCAAGTGTCATGTGAAAAAATCAGCATTGTTCTTTTTGTACCTTTCAAGTGCGCTCTTATCTTGAGCATTCCAAATAAATTTGACGCTGCTTTTAATTTTTATAGCTATTCTGCAGATTGCAAAGTTAAGTATAATTTCAGTCAAGAAAGTTTTACTGTGAAGGCCAGATATGTCTTAAACATTTTAATTGTACGAAACTGTCTGTGATCTTACTCTTACTAACTTTTGTCTGTGATAAGCTTGACAAATGTAAATTGTATTTGTCTAAGTTTTCCTTGTTCTCTTATGATCTCTTTATAAGGCCGTCGTTATAGTTCTCTTCATATGCAATGTGTTCAAAATAATAGACAATTATTATTGCTAAAGATTGTGAAAATAAACTAGAGTCAACAGAAATGGTTTTCTTTTTTTTTTTTCTTCTCTGAAGGAGGCCATTTTGAATTTCTTGGAAGATCAAGAAAACAAAAGAGGTAGTGCTAAAAGAAGGCAGCGTGGGACGTTCGTATAATTTTGTCTCGACGCGGTGGAATCAGGCTCTCGTCTGTTTTTTGGACGGGTAGAGTTATTGGTGTCAATTAAAGCTTGTTCATTTTGCTACCTCAGAATCACAAAGATCTATCTGACATTTTTGGCCGTTGTGAGTTAATAATACCATGAGGTCAGAAATCAAATGCTTTATCTGCTCTATAGTTAGATTATTTTGAGTCGTTCGTATCAAGATATTCAAAGAACTGAGTTAGAAAAAGCTTGAAATATTGTGAAACTCAAAATTTTTGACGTCCAATTGCTCGAAACTGGGTAGTGAGCTGATAGAACTTTGTAATTTTGAGGTAGCGATTAGGATATCTTTCTAGAAAAAAAATACCCATGTATCTTCAACAGAGGTAGAGATATATTTGCGACAGAGTAAAGAAGTGGGATCGCCTAATTTTCAGGGGTAAAATAAACGAGAAAATGACCGCACTTCCAATGCTTGAGAATCCTTAGAAACTTAAAACGTATTAAATTTGAGAAAAAAGTTTCGTTTCCATGGATACGGCGGCCACATTGGATGTTGTCGACATGTCTTACGTAATGAATACCGCATTTATTGCTAATGTAAATTGATTGGATATTTTTGCAAGCGTGTTAACAGACCGAAGGGCTAGAACCCAAATAGCCGCTGGATCGGAAAAGTAAAAGTAAAGTAAAGCAAGCGAGTTAACAAACGTTAGATCTAAAAATGTGTCTGTTGTTGGGTTTTTTTCCTAAACGAATTAGAACATTTTAATGAAATTTTTCCAGAGGTAGCATTCAAGTTCGCAAAAAAATCCGTAAAAATCCACACTCCAGACACCACCAACAAAAATCTATTCCATATATAAAAAATCAACAAATATGTTTTTTGTCTTACATCGTCTCTTCATTCTGTGAAAATTTCATGGAGATTGAACAAAAAATAGTGGAGTTATTTTAAAAAGTATAAAGAGAAGTCGCGTTTTGAGAAAACGGCCGATAAAGAAAAATAAAATATTGACTTTATGAGGAAGTGATGGAGGCAAACATGCCCAGTATGGGACAAAATACGGTTGTTGTTCGTTTTTGGTTTTTTTTTTTTTTTTTTTTTTTTTTTTTTTTTTAAGCGATGAAATAGTTGTGTGTTAGCTAAACATCAATTTCGTTCATCCTGCATTAGAACTGAACACTCAAGTACCCCAGTAATAACTTTCACCGCTCCACAACAAAACCATTCAAAGACACAACTCATAGGACTTGAGAATGTCACGTTCCCCTCTCTCAGGTTCATGGTCACAAAGAGGTACACTTGGTAGAGCTCACGGTGCCCCACGAGGACAATATCTATGCCGCTCATGAGCGGAAAGAAAACCGTTACGAGGCACTCGTCGAACAATGTGAGGAGGCAGGATGGAAGGCAACCCATTTTCCGGTAGAGGTAGGATGCAGAGGTTTTGTAGCAAC